GGGGTCAGAAAGAGTCACGGGGAACATTAACCGTGTCACTCTGATAACAGGAGACAGGAGAATGCAGACCTGATTGGAATGTAAATGCTTCACACTATACTTAAGAATGAAGCCTCAGAAGACAATAATCTGGAATTGACTTAAATTTAAGCAGCATTGCCAGCATTCCTCACCACTGGTTCTCCTGGCTAGGGCTGATGGGACTTACAATCAAACAGCAGGATCTGGAGTCATTTACATGACTTCCACCCTTGATGTATATCCCATAATGTGTCACCAGGCTTTCTTTCTGTTCAGAAAGTTTGTTGTTGTTCTGTGCCTTGAAGTTGCGTCTGACTTATGATGACCCTAAGGCAAACCTATCACAGGGTTTTGGGGTTTTTTTTGCCAAGATTTGCTCAGAGGGGATTTACCAATGCCCCCCTCTGAGGCTGAGAGAATATGACTTACCCAAGGACACTCAGTGGGTTTGCATGATTGAGTTGGGATTTGAATCTTGGTCTCCCAGAGTCTTAGTCCAACACTCAAACCACTACATCATGCTGGCTCTAATGTTCAAAAAGTAGAAAGTGCTCAACGCTATGTTTTAACATTATTCTTGTGTTGATACCTTTGGATTATCTAGAATGTTTTGAGATAGAAATGATACAATGAAAGACTAAAAAGTTTTGTTTCACATAAATAAACCACAGCCCACTTAAACTCTGAGATGCTTCGCTCATCTTGGATTTGGCAAAGCAGCATTAATAACACAGGGTATTCAGTATGCTATAGTGGTCTGAGTGATGGACTACAATTCTGGAGGCCAGGTTTGAATCCCCATTCAATCATGGAAGCCCAGTGGATGACCTTGAGCAAGTCACATTTTTTCAGTCTCAGAGGAAGGCAAAAGGAAACCCACTCTGAACCAAGCTTGCCAAGAAACCCCTGTGATAGGTTTGCCTTAGGGTGGTCATAAGTTGGAAACAACTTAAGGACACATAACCCAACACACATTCAAGTGTCTCAGTGGAAGCAAAATAATAGGGGTGAAATACACAGGTCAAATAAAGCGGTTTCAAATCACTTTAGAGGCTGGGTGTTTAGATGACGCACACCTCCAAACCAGGCAGAAATCGCACTGAAGCCACAGTCTGGGGCTAAAAAGCAGAGCAAAAAGAAACTGGGATATTCTGACTTAGCTGGGAAAATGCGCACCTTTGACCCTGCATATAAACACCCTGATGCCAGAGTGGTTCTAAAGGAGTGATCCATCCTGACCCTAACCCTAACCCTAACCCTAGCCCTAGCCCTAACCCTAAAGCTGCATATAAATGCACCGGTGCAGGTGCACATTAAAAAAGGATGGAGCCGCCGTACCTAATTGGTTGGGGCAGCAATGCAAAAAAGTTGAAACTGTGACACCTCCAATGGATATAAGTACACCATACACAAACCAGACAGTTCAAGTGGGGCATGGGGTGAAGAGGGGGTGAAGGGAATATTTAGGGGGGATATCCATGATTGTACTTTGCCAGTGTTTTACTGGGTACACCAATGCCCTGTACTGGTGGAGGATTGCAAGTGCGACTATGTTTCTAATCAAAGGAGCAGCCATTCAATGGGATGGCATCTAGGTACAGGCAGCCGCCGGTGGTGTATCTGTGCAGTGGTGCACATGAATGCTAGAGAGGAGAGGAAAAAAATTACTCAGTGGCACGGCTCGACAGTGTGCTGTACAGTTGGGCCATGCGGATTTGGGCCTCCTTGGGAGAGGCCAGTGCAGTCTCAGGGAATCATAGAATCATAGAGTTGGAAGAGACCACAAGGGCCATCCAGTCCAACCCCCTGCCATGCAGGAACTCAAAATCAAAGCATCCCCGACAGATGGCCATTCAATCTCTGTTTAAACACCTCCAAAGAAGGAGACTCCATCACACTCCAAAGAAGTGTGTTCCTCTATTGAACAGCTCTCACTGTCAGGAAGTGCCTCCAAATATTGAGGTGGAATCTCTTTTCCTGCAGCTTGCATCCATTGTTCCAGGTCCTGTTCTCTGGGGTAGCAGAAAACAAGCTAGCGCCCTCCTCAATATTACATCCCTTCAAATATTTAAAGAGGGCTATCATATCCCTTCTTAACCGTCTCTTCTCTAGGCTAAACATACCCAGTTCCCTAAGTCTTTCCTCATAAGGCATGGTTTCCAGACCCTTCACCATTTTAATCGCCATTTAGTCTGGACACGCTCCAGTTTTTCAATATTCTTTTTAAATTGTGGTGCCCAGAACTGGACACAGTATTCCGGGTGGGGCCTGACCAAAGCAGAATACAATGGCACTATTACTTCTTTTGATCTAGATCAGGGGTCCCCACACTTTTTGATCTGGGGGCTGGTTCGCTGGCCCCCAGATCTCCGGGGGGCTGGAGGCGATGCAGGGTGCCATTTTGTTTTCCAAAATGGTGCCTGGAGTCGTGCCCATGCACGCGCAACACCAGGCGCATGCGCATGACTCCAGGCGCCATTTTGGAAAACAAAATGGCGCCCCATGTTGCATGTGCATGCACATGACTCTGGGCGCCGTTTTGTCTTCCAAAATGGCGCTTGGAGTCATGCGCATGTGTGCACGACACCGGGTGCATGCACACGACTCCGGACACCATTTTGGAAAACAAAATGGTGTATGGCGGCATGCATGAGCGGCGGCGGCGGCAGCAGAACTGGCCACGGGCTGGTAGGAAGGCCTTGACAGGCCAGGTCCAGCCCCCGGGCCGTAGTTTGGGGACCCCTGATCTAGATACTATACTTCTACTAATGCAGCCTAAAATTGCATTGGCCTTTTTAGCTGCGGCATCACACTGTTGACTCATGTTAACTTGTGGTCCACTAGGACTTCTAGAGCCCTTACACACGTAGTCTCATTAAGCCAGATGTCCCCCATCTTATATCTATGCATTTCATTTTTTTGCCCTAAGTGCAGTACCTCACAGGGAGTTTGAACCGCTTTTTTCCTGCCCATCTGTTCCACCCCAATAGACAATCACTCCTTGACACAGGACCATTATAGAATGGTTACAAAAAAATAAGGAGATGGAGCCAACAGCCAGTTGATATAATCTAGGTCTGGTATATGACTGAGAAAAAGAAAAACGGAATGAGATTAAATTTTCTGAGTGAGACACAATAGAGAGCTGAGATGCTGAGCTTAAAGTATGCCACTTCTGTCTAGAGGTCAGATGCAGGGTAGTGGCTTTGACCGGCTGTTGGAGTGCTTAAAATGTCCCTAACTATTTGCTATTCAAATAGCAAAATGTCAGTGGGCTTGAAAGACCTCCTTCCAAAGGAAATTGAATCTGTGTAAAGACTAGTACCCCCAATCATCTCATTCTCCAGAACCATGGGTCAAGTGTAACAATATGAAGAAACACAGACATTATTTCAAACATTACCTTCAACTAATCTTCTTGAGGCTGTAAGCAGAAGGGCCATGCCAACGTCTGCAGTACTGTTGCATACAGCATGAGGAGCATTGGCCATTCTCACTCCATATCCAGAGATCAGTTTCAAATCCAAGTGATCCATACCTACTCCTGAATTTGCAATCACTTTCAAGTTTGGCAGGCTCTCCAAAAGCTCTCTGTCAATGATGGGTTTATGCCACCAAATATAAATAGCTTTGACCTTTGCACTAAAATGTTCTTTGCTTTCTAGGAATTCCTTCATGGTGATAAGGTGGAAGTGCTTCTTCAGAAATGGCAGGTGTGTTTGTAAGACACCGAGAATTCCATCTACTTCATTTACCAATAACACAGGCAGTTCTGGTCCTTCCATGATCTGCAAAAGAGTAAAAAGCAAAATATTAAAAAGAGTTAAAAGAATTACACAAAAAACATAGAAAGTTGTTCCTTCATCACAATCAACCAATTCCAAACCCCAAATAAATGTACAATAATTGGTACTGCAAAGTTATATAGATTTTTTCTTGTCAATCAGATCACCTTATTCACTATCACTCATGTCTGAGAGCCAGTGTGGTGTAGTGGTTTGAGTGTTGCTATGAATTTAGAGACCAGGGCAACTCACACTCTCTCAGCTTCAGATGAAAGCAACCCCACTCTATACAAATCTTGCCAAGAAAACCCTGTGATAGGGTTGCCATGAGTCAGAAATTACTTGCTATAATCTAGGTCTGGTATATGACCTAAGGCCCGGGGGCTGCAAAGTTGCAAAGTTACTATTTCTTGCGGGGGGGGGGGCTTTGAAAATTAACATACATCGATCAATTGAACAAGCTCTGTTGATGAAAATAATCCCTCTAAATAACCTGTAATGCTTAATGTTGAACTTTGAACACTGGGCTCACTCAAGTTACTTTTTAAGCCTTTTCGCTTGCCAAGCATGTTATGCAGCATGTTAAGTCATGTTAAGTCAGTAAAGTCTATTATATAATCAGGTTACCATTTGAAAATATTGTACCATTCATTCATTCATTCATTTCTTTGCTTGATATGAGAAGCCAGAAAACACAGTTAGCCACCCTCTTTCATTCAAAAAGAAGCCAAGACTCTGACCCAGAAAACTAAAAATGCGAAAGAAGGCATGGTGGTTGCTGCTTCACTGGAGGACAATCTTCTGCCTAAGGGAAGTAGCTTTATCAGAAGATTGCACCAATCATGTGTTTGCTGTCAGCTTCTCCATCCAGCTGCACGTTTATTCCCACTGGAGACAGAAGAGTATTTAAACTTTTAAGAATGAGGGTCTGCTGTGTGCTTTCAAGTACAGTGGTACCTCTACTTACGAATGCTTCTACTAACGAAAA